TCTCATAGGTTTCTATGCATGACTCTGGCTCTATTGTCTCATTTAACCTGAAAAGAGCTGATGGTTCTTAGTTTGGATATCGGGAGGTGGAAAAATTGGCATCCTTATCTGGAATTCAGTTACGGGTAAACCCTGAGAAAATCTAGAAGACTAGAACAAGCATAACTATATAAACAAATAGTGATTTGTGTTATAGTTTAGTTATTGCTTGCTAAATGCCTTCTTTTATGTGGTCTTAAATATTATAGACCATACAAAGTAGTTTCGCAATAGAAAGTGTGCAAACACCTTTGTATGTTGTTTAGAACCAGAAAATGCTTTGAAACATCACAAGGCAACTTTCTAGCTTTCTGCTACTGTATCAGTTTATTTGAAGCTTGCTTATATAATGTTCTAGGAAAACTGGTGTTATTGATCTAGAGGAAGATTAAAACAATAATGGCTGCAGTTGCGTTACCAGCTTAGTGACAGTTATTCTTTTGTCCTTCGAACGCTGTTTTGTTGTATACAGGATGCTTTTGCAATCCTGGTGCCTGTGCAAAATATCTTGGCTTGTCTAACTCGGATCTTCTTTCTAACGTAGAAGTATGCCTTTCTTGTGGTTGGGTTATATGGATGTTGATTTACTGGAAAGAAATAAAATAAGCTTTGCTTTGAGTTCAGGCTGGGCATGTTTGCTGGGATGACAATGATGTAATATATGGAAAACCAACTAGAGCGGTTAGAGTATCTATTGGTTACATGTCAACTTATGAAGATGCTAAGGTAGTCTTTTTCTACCTTTCGAGTTCTGCCCTTTATTTCTATTCTAGAAAAATATATGATATTTTTTATTTTATTGTATACATGCATCAGTTGTTACATGAAATGGAACATAGAAGCTTCCAACATAAAGTATACTAATCTATTAGAATTTCTGTGGGACTGTTGATTTCCATCGATAATAACATGTTGGGATATATTTGGTGAATGTTTCTCTCACTCTCTGTTTGATGGTATTTACTGACCGATGGTGTTTCCTCCATACAAAAACTTATTGATTTTATGAGAAGGTCCTTTGTATCCATACCAAGTGAGTTCGAGAAAGGGTACCTGCTCGGATCAAAGTCAATTCCATACCAAAACTGAAGGTTATTCAGGGTTTTGGTTCACTTTTATTGCCAATAAAATGAAAACTATTTGTTAGATTTGCAAGTTCTCCTTTTCCCAATTGGTAAATTATTTCCACTGTAAAATAACGCTATTGTACCTATAGTATTCACAATCACAACTATAAGTTCATTTTAAATACCATGAATTAGACTTTGTATTATTACGGTTGGATATTATTGTTGTTTTAATGTGATAAACCCTTTAATTATATATTTTAACACTATTATTGTTATTACAATGTTATTTACTATTGTTGTTTTAATTTGATGTACTATTAATTAAACATTCTTAAGATTTATAAACTTTTATAATATATTTTTAATCAATTATTAATATTACATAAAATAAACCTACATAAAATAGTGTATTTATAACACAAACAACATAAATTATTAATATTAACTAAAATACATATTTTTATAAAATATAATTATATATTAAAAAATGAACCTTTAAAAATAATAAAGAATAAAACATATCGAATATGTATGCTTCTTTATTAAAAATAGATTCTAAAAATTGTTTTAGAAAAATTAACCAAACAATGTAAAACACTGAACAATGTAAAATTATTTCATTTTCCGGAAAATATTTTCAGTAGAACAAACGAACCCTAAATTTAGATACTTAGAAGATGAGATTAGAAACTCACCAACTGGTTTCGAAACCCACATACCCAACTTTAAAATTTTATCAATTTGGCCCCATCTGATAACTTGTTTTGCAATTTAATCTATATTTTATATATACACCAATTTAGTCCCTAGTTAGATGTTTGACTATTGTTTGAGTGATAAATTATTTGATTTAGTTTCAATTCGATTCAAATTAAGTTTCAGTTAATTAATGTGATATATTTAGCTCAATTTTGATTGGACCAAATTGGGGATGTTAGTCTATTACACATATGACTTATATCAAATGATTAACCTATTCATAATCCCTCAATTAAAAACAAGATAATAAATATTTTCAAAATGAGTATTATTTTTTAAAAGTTAAAATATATGAAGATAAATATTCTTTCTAACTTTTTTCTCCTTCCTCCTCATGTATTTGTTATGTACGACGGTCTAATTTAAAATTAAAAAAGACGTAACCTAAAATATTAAAAAAAATTAATATTTTTGGTTGAACGTAACATAAAATGTTAATTTTTTAATATTTTCAATTGAACGTTTTTAATCGAAAATGTTATGAATAATGTATATAACCGAAAAAAATTAAGAAAATATTAATATTTTCAATTACGCTCAACCGAAAATATTAAATTTTCTTTATATTTTTAATTACGTCTTTCCTTAGTCTTACATTACATTACCACTCCTTATACATTCCATCCTCCCTTATCTTTTAAAGTTTGGACTCTGTCAGTATAATGCCCCCATAACGACCCTACTGTGTGCACTAAAAGTTTGTATTTCGTTATGTGATCTCGAATGATAATGATATCTGAAGTAGACCCAAAATTCAAAGGTGATTAATTTTCAATGCCTAAAACGCTCAATAATAATAAAATCAGTAGAAATAATAATGTTTCTGATAATTTTTTACCGGTTTTGTTATTATTTAAATAACGAAACATGTAGCGCCTTTTTTGGTCATATATTAAGACTGTCACACGTGATCATTTCCCCAAATACAGGTTGCTGAGCTTTTTCTCTAATAGTAGGCACACTTACAGTCGGGATGGATCGAGAGATGATTGGATAGTTGTCCTTTTAATAATTTTAAATTATTATATATTTTATATTTTATATTGATAATATATATTCGTTCATTAAAATTTTATAAGTTCACACCGTTTTAAAATTTTAAAAATTCGTTTCGCAAAATAACATTAAAAGGACACATCACACGTCCTGAACAATCAATATATATGATTCCATATGTACTTTGTATTCTCCAAAACACGCCTTTATTTAATGAGTTCATATGCGATGAAGGGATCTTCAAGTTCAATTTTATTTTATTTTTCATACAAAAGTTAAGCATTTGTTTGAACGATGGAATTATTCTAAATTGGATTCGGATTAAATGCAAAAAATTGAAAAATCAGTGTCATTTTGGATAGAAAAGGACTGTATCCCACCATTCCTGAAAAACTGATAATAATACAGAAGTATTTATCTCAACGTCAGTCTGCATTGATTGGTGCTTTTAGACTTTTGTTCTTTTTTCATGCAAATCTCATGCACGCATAGTAAATGGATCTAGAACCGCGTTTAGCATCAAAGTTTGAAGTTAAGCACATTACGTTCTCTATATAAACACTTCTCAATCGGGGATTATTCACTGTGATTTGGAAGCTTCTGCTGGATTCTTTCTCTAATGGCCTCCGTAATTTCCACAGTCACACTTTCTAATATCCTACTCATTCTGCTGCTTTCCGGCTGTTCTGCCAATGCTCAGCTTTCTGCCAACTTCTATGCAAACTCTTGCCCTAACCTTCAAACCATCGCCCACAATGCGATGACGCAGGCCGTTAATAGAGAGGAGCGAATCGGCGCCTCGATTCTCTGTTTGTTTTTCCATGACTGCTTTGTTAATGTAACGTTATTTGTCTATTGATTTAGAAACATCAACTTGTAGATGTATACATTGTTAATGACGCTGATATGTGTTATTGTTGATGCAGGGCTGTGATGCATCGATACTGCTGGACGACACGTCGACATTCACCGGCGAAAAGAATGCAGTACCTAACCGAAACTCAGCTCGAGGTTACGCTGTGATTGATACCATCAAGTCTAATGTTGAGGCTGGTTGCAATGCCACTGTTTCTTGTGCAGATATCCTACCACTTGCTGCTAGAGATGGTGTTGTAGTTCAGGATAGAGATGGTGTAGCACTGGCAGCTTGGAGGACCTACATGGCAAGTACTCCTGGGGCGTAGAGATGCAAGAACAGCCAGCCAAAGCGCAGCCAACAACCAAATCCCCTCACCATTCGCCAACCTTGCAGCTCTAACCTCTTCCTTTTCTGCCAAAGGCCTATGTGCCCGGGACCTAACTGCACTATCCGGTGGCCACACGATCGGCCTGGCTAGATGCACCACTTTCCGCAGTCGTATTTACAACGACACCAACATCAATGCGAATTTCGCAGCCACCAGACGTGCTAATTGCCCTGCTACTGGTGGTGACAACAACTTGGCTCCACTCGATACACTTACCTCGACCAGGTTCGACAACAATCACTACCGTGACCTCGTGGCACAAAGGGGGCTGCTTCACTCGGACCAGGAACTGTTCAATGAAGGATCGCAGGACGCTCTTGTACAAACATACAGCAACAACCCTGCTACTTTTTCGGCCGATTTTGCGGCTGCCATGGTGAGGATGGGGAACATTAGTCCCCTCATCGGAACAAGTGGGGAGAACAGAAGGAACTGCAGGGTGGTCAACTGATTTTTGTGATCTTAAGTATCCCAATTACTGGTGATTTCAATGAGCTTCTCGCGTTGAGTTGAACAACTATACTATAATAGTCTAAGATCGAAAAGGAATGTAGCCTTTTGACTCTGTTATGTAATCTTATAAGTTTTAGAGTTACGTTTTAATATGGTGTAATATTTTTTTTTCCAAATACTTCTTATAAAAATTACAAAGTATTATGCTTTAGTATTTGTTTTGCCCATGTACTAAGGATTAATAAATTCTCGGTCATTTTATTTTCTATATTTTAATTCTATTAACGCATTAGCCCCTCGTCTTCTTCAAAAAGACATCAAATAAGAGAACAAATGTCAATGCCCGCAAAATATAAAATAAAAAAAGAGCATGAACCAAAGCTGCCACATCCAAAATAAACAAAAAAGAGCTGCTGCTTTTGCCAATAAGAAAAACAGCCATACCAAGAACCAAACCAGCCTACTCCACCCCCACAATTACTCCCTCTTTTTGAAAAAATAACAAAATAAAATCAAGGGGCTGGTGCTTTAAGTCTTGCATGCATTCTAACATATTTGTTGTGCTTCACTTGCCATGCTTGAACCTGAGTGTCCTGGTCCTAAATTTCTCCATCAAAAAACTGAAGCAACTGATTTCTGGTAGTATCAACTGAACTTGTGGCTTCCCCAGTAGCCACTCCAACAACCACTCCTCCAGCAACCATGCCTCGCTTATAAACATGCGTTCCTGCATACGCCACCAAAAGGTATAACTGTTTATTATCATAAAAATTACAGGTGTATTACCTGAGTTTCTCAGGTATAAATAAAACATCCTATGTCTATGTGCAGCACCTCATCGATGAACGAGTGAGCCACTTTCAGCCTCTTCAAGCATTCGCCGACAAAATGTATAACAATATAATTATTATTATTATGCAAATTTTGTAAATGGTTGTATCATCTTCCGTTACCAACTTAACAGAAATGGACTATTTTGTAACTTTTCTGTAATTCGAGAGGTCAGTTTGTAACTTTTTAAAGATTATCTCCCTGTAAACTAACCATATCCAGGAAAACAATGTCACAAACGCAGTAACATGTGGTGGCCTAATTTTGGTTGTTACCATGTTTAGCTGGCGGGTCCACTCCAAGTCGGAGGAAGGTGGTCTGATGCCATGGGAGGCATGCCACAGACATTAATGTCGATAGGGTACAAGCGGTATTTAATATCCAATTCGTTGAAAACCCTAACCAGCTCTTCGATCAAGAGAGCCCTTCTTGTAAACCTCTCTCCCATGTCTTGGTGGTTCATTCTATGTGTCACCCATATTGCTATCCTTACTCGGTTCAACACTTCGAGCTCCTTAAGTATGATCATCGTGTCTTGATACCAGTGGTCACTCCTGTGCTCGATGTAACTGCAGTAAGAGCAAATTGAATTGGTCAGGCATGTTCAATTTATGTTCGAATAATAATAATAATAATAATAATAATAATAATAATAATAATAATAATAATAATAATAATAATAATAATAATAATAATAATAATAATAATAATAATAATAATAATAATAATAATAATAATAATAATAATAATAATAATAATAATAATAATAATAATAATAATAATAATAATAATAATAATAATAATAATAATACAGTTCATAGTTGCACTCAAGCAATATATTCAAGAATGCAGACTCTTGTAATAAAGTTCGAAGCACCGAAAAAATTGCATCCTTTTCAACCCACCTCAATATCCTCTGCTTCATGAGACCAATCTTTTCAGCAGGAGTTTTCACATGGATACAGAATTCAACTATCTCTAACATGTCGGGGCTACGGTAGTAGTTATTTATGGCTTTAGTAGCCAACACGCTGTTCGGGATTATGATCCTCTGGTTATCGTATCTCAAGAAAACAGTAGTTAAGATGTTCATTTCCTCCACGATCATCTGAAATTCATTAAGACATTTAATACCCCACGAGTTTATATGAATATTAATATAAAAAGAAAAAGTAGGGTTCATATGGTTATCTAAGTACCTGAACTCCATCAATTTCGCACCTGTCACCCACATCGAATGGGTGCATAACGAACAAGAATATAATAGCTTCAAATATGGTCTTGCATGTGTTTCCAAATATGAATGCGACAAGAAGCAGTTGAGAGCTAATAAAAACAAGAACTTTACTGCTGGCAATTTCAAGTATGAGGAGCCAGATAATGAATATGACGATGCCAACCAGGACGTCTACCATCCGATGAAGTTTGTTCACTGCTGTTTTGGTATCGTTCAGTGTCAGGGCAAGTGCCCTTCGTTCTCTAAAAGCATTGACCTAAAATATTGAAATGTATCAGATTAAAATGTAAATCTTACACTTCTGGTATCACATTAAAAAGTATATAAGGTTTGTTTCGGGACTTAGATGCAATAAATCCTGCAAAGTAAGTCCTATTTTTTCAAAAAGAGATCAGTCAAATCAGCTGAGATTGCACTATATTGTAAGTAGGAAAAGCGTAACAACATTCAACCAATTAAAAACTTGGGATGTATACTACAGACTTTTGTTTATGAAGATCAAATAATCTTGTTGCATATTATCATACTAAGTTTTATGGCACATTCGGCGTTATTCACTAGGGATGAATATGTGCATATCTAACATTTGATAGCCTATCTAATGAGAACTACTTGAGATCATTTTGAAAAGTATCCAATAGGGAAGGTTTCAAGCTAATCGAATGTCTTATTAATAATAACATGTGTCTCTCTGTGTGTGTATATAATGTTGGAGTAAATTATACTGCAAAGCATGGATTCCCTATTCTTACCACCCAATTCTTGAGGGCTTTCTTGCTAATTCTCTTGCTTTCAGAAGCTCCTTCGAAGAGACTCACTGTCTTCAAAGCCTCATCTTCTGGCAGAAAACGTCCAATGTCCTCCAAGTAGATGAACCTAAAAAGAAAATTATTAGCACTATGATGACGATAAAAAAACTCATAGACGCATGCGTTCATAAGGACACAAGCCAAACACTTAATATCATAAAACCTGCGAGTCATCTGTCAAATTAAGTGATCGCAACATGTTCTAGGATAAAACTATATGAAATTTAGAACCGACTGAAAGAAGATTAAGGCAAATATACATGCACAATATATTGCATAGCGAATGGGACTCGTGGTCATGGAGATACCTGGATCCCGGCTTAGCAACATTCTGGAAGATTTTCCTTGCTGCAACTTTTGCCTCGTATTCGTTTCTAATTTGTCTTGCAGACTCATCTTCAAAAGCTGAATCTTGGATCTGCTCATCTAAAGTGGAAAGAGCTCCATGTCGGATTATATTCATCAACCTTTTCATATTCCAAGCAGATACATTTTTATGATTCAGTTTGTGCAAGTGGTCAATTGTAATTCCCTTATCATCCTTATCTCCTGTCCCGGCAGAAAGGGCACGAGCCGGCGACAGCATAAGGCTTTTTCCTCGAGGAGTTTTCTGGATCCATTCGCTCCCTGTCGTTTTCCCATAAAGAGGAGATGAAATGGTGGACGTCTTGAGCCCAGGAGGAATTGTGGCACCAGCTTTCTGTAAGCTCATAACTTCATTCGCTACTCTTTCTTCCTCCTCCTCCGCCCTTTGAATCTCAATCAAAGGAGGACCAGAAAGTGTCTCGATTACATATTGGTTGAACAACGAATCCTGGATTCGATCAAAATAAGTACTCATATGAAAAGATGATGCTAATACCTTAACCAAAAGGGTCTTCACAAGCCACAATATTACACCAACCAAAAGACAAGCCAAAACTTTAGTCACAAATCTAAGGACTGTACTGTTAGTTTCCCTTTGAACCTTCTTATCGAACAAGAAATGCCAAGCAATCAAAACCAGCCCTAACCACAAGCAATTTCGAACAGGTTTTCTCACTCCATAAACAAAATACAATACCTTCTTCCTCAAAAGAAAATTCCTCTCTATAAAAAACACAATTATCTTTATAATCCAACCTGAAACCAATCTACCACAGATTAAGACCAAAACCATAACTTCCCATTTCCACAACATGAGCTTCCATAGACTTTTCTTCTTTAAATATGGGATTGTAAGACTACAAACTAAACCAGCTATGATCAAAATCAAACTTAACCATTCAAGTAACACCAAAACACTGAACTTATCTCTCTTATACTCATCAGGCAAATCTTCTTCAAGCAAGGAATCATCCTCTTCTTCGTCCATGCTTTTCCCAAGAAACCCGGATCTCGTTATCTGCCTTGACTTCCCTGCTCCGGATTTGGCTGACTTTGGCTCCCCTTTTTCTTGTGTAGGAGGGTCCATCAGCCTGGACTTCGTCCTGGTTGCTAACAAGTTCGATGTCCTCGGAAAAATACCACCTTCACTTCTTTTAGAAGAACAGTTTGAGCTACATTTTACAACCCCATCGTCTTCTTTTCTCGGGGATGGTGACCCTTTACTCGATCTTCTTCTTACAGGGTAGTTATCTAAAGACGCCCTCGGAAGAGCAGCCGCCGTAGGCGACGGTGATTCGGAGACTGTAGGCAGTACACCACCGAGATGGGGTGGCTCTTGTTGAAGTTCGTCCATTTCCAAATCCATATCCAATGAGAACTCGCCTGAAGCTTTTTGTTTATGCAGAAACTGACCGATCAACTTCGAAGGCGGATCGTCCATTGCTGCTTGCTTGCTTTGCATGAAATCGAAGCCTTCACTTTCCCTGTTTATACTGTTCTTACCACTACTACCTGTACCATTCATGTTACCATTCGCTTCCTGCCAGTTGTTTTCAATTTTCTCACTGTCGTCCCAAAAATCGTAGCTTGACTCTCTCCAAATCTTACCTCCACCGGCGGTAGATGCTCCGCCGGAAGCAAGAATACTACCGTCATTGCTTCTGTCCTCGATATTCAAGATGGTTTCTTTCTGGTCACCCGAATTAACGACCATGACTTTTCCGATCTTATGCCAGTATAACCATACAAAGAATCATATAAATTATAATGAAAATAAAAAGTAAATTAGAAAAATGGGGTCGGAAATATTTACTGAAGAAGACAGCTTGAGTTTAAAAAAAATGCAAACAGTTGTTACTTGTTAGAACCATCGAAACCGTCCATTTGTAACATTATATTATAGTAAAAAAATTCACCGCGTCAGTTATATATTTTGACCAATAAAATTTTTATATATCGTTAATTATTTAAACTTCACTAAACGGAGGTCCTTCTCCTTCAGGGTTTAAAGGGGTATGTTTTATTTAAAAATTTATATATTCCATAAGTTTTGATTTATTATTATTTTATTTTATATAAAAGGTAAATATTTAAATTAAAAATAAAATAATTCATTAAATATTTAATTAAGTAGGGATCAAACTAAATATGGATAATTTTATGTTCTCAATTTTTTATTTAATAACAATTTTAATATTTCGATCATGTCAATATTTAATTCTAATTACGTCCCTGTTTCACTTATGCAACTTATTAAAAAAATCATTTACATGAATGGATGATAGAAAAATAAATATTAAAGTGAATGATTTAGATTGATTAGGGTAATCGTTAATATGGTGAAGAAAATTAATAATAAATTAAAATTTTCAATGAGTTATCAAATAACATACATGTATTTAATGAAAGATGGGATAGAAAATATTTAATGAAGAAGACTGGTCGAGTTAAAAAACTACATACCATTTTTTTTCTAGAGGAGGGTGGATTGGATGGATAGATGAAAAGTTGGTGGTGTTTAATTCCTAGGAAATTGCAATAATTCCGATGCCTTTGTGTCGTTGCGCGTGTAATGAAAGTGGAAAAGTTGCAAACTTTTCAGAGCACTATGTAGAGAGAGTTGAGAAAATAATTGTCTCTTATTTCTCATATGTAAAGAGGTAAGGGAGATAATATAGTAGGTTATCCCCAACATCAGGTTGAGAGCGATTTTCGTAGAAGACCTTCGAATTATGAAATGTCCTCCGTGGGACTCGATCCCACAACCTCCTACCAACTGAGCTGGATGGTGAAATAAGGATTTATATTTTTTTTTAAAAATCAATTAAACATTTTTTAATTTTTATATTTAATTATTTTTTAAAATTATAAAATTTAATTGAATATATCATAGTATGTTGCTTTGATAATTAATCGAAGACAATATCATTAATTTTTATTTATGTGAATGTTTACACGGATGACTTCATGATTATTTTACTGTATTTATTAATTAATTAATTTAAATTGAATGCTATAGAATTTCATTAAGAAAATAATCATTTTGATTTCATTTATTACATTTACAATGATAATAAATTAGGGTAAATTATTTGTTTGGTTTTTAAACTATTATTTGTGTTTTAATATCCAGACTTTATTTTTTAAAAGCATACTTAACATTTAGTTTAAATTTTAATTTGGTACCGCGATATTAAAAAATTAATACAATTGTTGGCGTGATATTTTATTATTTTTTCGATTATGACGTGGTATTATCTTATGATAACACGTCAATATCATTGTTAAGTTTTTAAACGATAGAATACCAATATGAAACACAAGCTAAAAATTGATTATAGTTTTGAAAAAAAAAATTAATTAAAGACATAATAAAAGTAATAGTTTAATATTAAACTTGTAGATTATTTTATAATTTAAAATCTAAATCTTGTTCAAAAAAATATAAACATTTCATCAAATAAAATTAATAGGTCGTTGTCTTATGGACAATAGAATCAATATGTATTAATATACAACTTTTGAAAATATGTGTATTTCAAGGGTAAGAGATTTTCTTTTTAGAATTAATCGATTAAATTAGTTCGGGTACTGCAGAAGCGAGGACGACCCTCCAACCCAGTTTATGCCATTACAAACGTTAAGATTCGAACCCATAACTTTATTTAAAAGACTTAGTGTATCATTCTATTAGATGTTGGTAATAGATTTCTTTGAATACATGTTTGATAGTATGTTTTTCAATCTCAATGATGATATTTTCACCTAAACCAACAACTAAAAATTAAACTATGTTTTGGTCCCATATTTCGATGAAGCTACGCGTCATACTTCCATTACACCTCCAAATCAAAACTTTGAAATCCTTTTGAAACAAAATGGGGGCAGATTTTGTAAACGTACAAACCAAGGGACCCGCGGGTGACACAATCAACTGCACCACAGCCAAGCCCCCCCATGCTTCTATCATTCATGATCACGACAGCTAATGTAAGGACCAAATTGACGTAACGTCTTACGTGGCCACATCTTAATGGGTTTTCAATTCCTAACCTGATGCGGCGGGTCGTAACGAAAAGTGCAAAACGAATGGGATTTTTTAATATTTTAATCAATAATACTAGGATTTTGAGTAAACTACTTATTTAGTCATTTAAATATTTATATAGTTCTATTTAATCACTTAATTATTATTTTTAAAAGCATACCTAAATATTATTTTAGTTTTGCTTTAGTATTTGTCGTTAAAAATTAATAATGATGTTAACATGTTACTATAAGATAATATCATAACATTATTGAAAAAAATCACGTCAATAGTTCTTTTTATTTTTTAATGATATATGATCAAAACGAAACAAAAATTTAACTTCAAGTATGATTTTAAAAAAGATAATTTAATAATCAAAATAAAACCACAATAATAATTGGACGACTACATATGTAATTTACCCTAGAATTTATTGTGCCATGTGATATTTAATCAGTGTTATTTGTTTTATGATATGAACATTTCTAAAATGTCTGCGTTCGGCCAGCTTTACAGTTTGCTTAAACAAACTCATGCCACGTTTATTCCTGTCAAGAAAGAACAAGTATTTTGTACTTTCGGTCGTGTAAATTGTGTTCATAAAACGACAATTTATAGAGCTTTCGTAGAGCTGTTTATTATAAAGACGATAGAAATTTACACAAGTCACTAGGTACTTGTTAGTATATGGAAATGCCAGGCTTTGTAGGATTATATTTTGATCATTGGATTAGTGTTTTGAATGCAATTAAGTATGTTAAGTTGATGCTTGAGAGGGTAGTTCGTATATTGGACGTTTGTAATACTCGATTTAATTTAATCAATTAATAAATCGAATATTAATAATTATATAAAAACAAAGACTTACATTTAAAAGAATGGTCAAAATTCATAAAATAAAATAATTAAACTCTAAAGATAAGGCCTGAATATCAGCACCAATGATGAAGTGGCATCGATGTGTCGGATATAATTGATGAAACATAAACCTGGGGCAACAGCTGTGTTTTGGGGTATCATGGTCTGTCTAGATAACCAAAGTGATAGCGAAGTCAAAATCAAAATCATAATGTCTGAAAACGGTACCCACTACAAATATTATTTTATGAATTTTGTAGTTACAAACTTTGGATACCACTTGAATGTGAAGGCAAAATAGTGTAAACGTGGGGAAGAACAAAACCATCACGGAAATGGTCGGATGGATGTTATTCGAATGAAATTAGTGTTCGAGGGATAGTTGTACTCAATCAATATTTTTTACATTATATATAAATTCCATTAACGATTTTTTTTAAAAAAATATTCAATATATTTTATAATAATCAAATGGGTTAAAAAACTATACAAATTACTATATTAATTACAAAATGTAGTTAATTGTTATCATTTTAACGGATCACATTCCTATTAATTTTCATTTTCTAAGCCTCAAAAGCAAATTTTATTTGTATGTATAGGATAAAATATACTAGAGGTTACTAAATTATGTGAAATTAATTTTTTAAATGTTATAAGATGTTTATTAAAACTTTTAAACAGCTATAAAAGGGTATGTTATAATATTAATATAATAATGTTTTTTTAAAAATTTAAATTAGTAATTAGCATATTACTTCCGTTAAGCTTGAAATTATTTAAACTATCAAAATTAGAAAGGGTGGCATTTTCTTTATCCAGTTTGCATCAATCATTTTCACATTCAAAAAATTGTTCGATATTGGTGGCCGTGATATGGACTGTTTATGAGGTTTTGTTGCATGCTTGAAGACTGAATTATAAAAAAAAATTATTGTTTATGCATGAAATTTTTTCATATATTTACAAGGCAGCGCTGGAGATAAGCTTCGATTAGAGGGACCATGGTGTAGCTAATACGAAGTGGTACTGCCTGCGAACGATGAGGATAGTCAAGAATTTTGTGCCCTAAATTTTATTTATGTTCATCACATACGAAATATTTATATTATTGACATATATATATATATACACATGTGTCTATCTTTAAAAATATTTATAGATCCGTCATTAATGTAAATCCGTCACAAATCAACCTGTCTCTGTTGCAATCGATGGGGGTGGATGCGCGTTTAGATATCTTTCAAGATGATGGGGTGTTTACCGGAGATTGTGGCACTGATCTAAACCATGTGGTCACCATTGTTGGATGTGAGATTAGTGAAGAAGTTTTGAAGTATTGGATAGTAAAGAATTGGGTAAGGGTTTATGAAGATTCAATGGGCTGTGAATACAGTACCGGGTTATGCGGACTAACCATGCAAGCTTCTTCTCCCGTTGCATAATTCCATATAATTTTGTGCCAGTTCTTTAGCTTTATATGTATATATATATGTGTGTGTGTGTTACTATTTGTAAACTTCCAGCTCTGTAATCTTCCATATGAACGAACTAACCAAAAATTTCCAGCTCCTTGATCCTTCATGTAAGTGAAACTGTTACAATACGAGAACCTCCACCTTCGCAATCCTCCATATAAACAAACGCACCCACGATCCTTCGTATAAGCGAACATACTACTTGTGCGAACCTTTACGAACGTGAATATAAGATCCATGCAAACTCTTAGACATGTGAAGTGCATCCTGCAAACGGTCACTTGTCGATCACCTACAATGCTTGTGAACACACTCTTGTAACATCACCAACGACCACGTGTCGATACACGTGATTTCTTAGTATGAGACCTCACTCCCTCAAATGTCTAATCAATA